TGTGTCACTCCCATTGTCACAGACATCTAGACCCCGTTTACATGGAGACGATTCGTGTTGTATCTGCTACCTTTCTCTTTCGTACAGCCCGTTCGTTCACTCAAGGCCGTAACGGAATAGATCTGCGGACGGAACGCTCTGGGGGGCCTAACGGCTCAGTGTGTACATCCAATACGATCATTTCCTGATAACGATGAAGCCATAGCCCCACCTCTCCCCACCTCTAACCTCTGCTGCTCACTGCTGTAGCATGGTCAGTAGCTACTGCTACTGACCATGCTACAGATGTTAGTGCAAAATCTACAGCTCCTCTACCACAACCATCAGCAACAAGTGGACATGGAGAATTACATGAACTACATGTTGCTAAATCCACCGCGGAGCATAAACAGAAGGGCAACCATGCTCGGGGGTCTTCTTTGTTGCTTTTGGTGTATTTTGTGGCGGAAGTACAGCGCCACTTACAGGCCCGGCATATGTACTACAGCGTCTCCAGCGGGTCAAGCGGTCTCGTGTGAACGGACAAGTTTCTTGAGCCGATACCGTGTAAACGGAAGACTTTTTTGATATTGAATTCGGTTCGTTCTCCATTTCGTTTCCGTGTAATCGGAGTCAGTGTGGTAGTGTTACTGTAATGTAAATGCAGGAGGGACAAACGTGCATTTGAAGCGCTGCCATGGTTACTGAACTATAAGATTAGTATGGGTTGACACACAGTGGTCACACTCACTGTACAGCCATTATCCCCGCTCTGTCTGCAGTCATTACCGTGCACTTATAGGACGTTCTGTCTGCAGCACCCCTGCCTGTCCCTGCTCTCAGAATCCCTGTCCTGCTTCATGTCCCAGCGCAGAGGCATCATAGAAACCTCATGTCTCTGATCTCCCAGCAAGCGCTGTCTCCAGACCACAACATACTGCCAACAATGGCTGGATTGACATGACAAATTGTAAAAACTTGAAATCTTGCCAATATATTTGTCTAATATCTCCTCTTGGAACATCTTATTTTTAGTTGTATCTCAGATGAAAGACGGTTTCTAAGCTGCTGTTGTATTTGTAAAAGATGGATCATCTTGTATCAAGAAACAAATCTTACTTGATTGTAGAAACAGACGAAAATATAGTTCAAAAATATTTTTTCCCAGCTTATTACAATATCTAATTTATCTAAATATCCCATCATCTCTGGCATATTTGTTTACTTGATTGCCTTTAATAATTCCAGTTTCATACAAAATAATCCTAAACATTGCAAAGATCCTCAACATGCGCCTGAGTTAAAAGCATTGAGGGGAAACCAAGACATCACTTTTGATGTATCTGTTTCAGTTCTTTTCACTGCAGATTACAAACAAAGGGCGATGGACTCGTGTGAATATGAGAGTTGGCCAACTGTACCTGTTCTATAAGAGATACACATGTGATTGCTGTCTTTGTTATTTCAACTCATCATGATACATTTCTCTGCTGTAGCATAGACATTTGTTGTGCTTTATTTGTATTTGTATATTCCAAGTTTTTACCAAGTGTTCAGCCTTAAAACCAGAAATAATAACTTCCAAATGGATTGCTATGAAAGAGATGTTGGTGATGAAACATGCAGAGTAGCAACACACATCCCAACACAAACAAACAAAGCTTCCATTATCTTTCTCTTTAAACCAACATTACATTTGTTCCCCAACACTGAAAAAAAAGCAAATAATCGTTAACCTTTTCAACAGGTGTTAGTGTTGGACTAACAGTACAAAATACAATTGATGAGAAATATATGATGAAAAACGGTGGAAAGTAAATACATAAAGTGTATTGGGAGTGGCAATACACATTTTCAGATTGTTGTAAATTGAACAATCTGTGGATGTGATCCGGTTTCTGTGTGTTACTGAAATTGCTGATAACCACATTTGAGCTAAGCTGGTCTCTTGAAATGATTTAAGCTCTGTGAAAGTACATCTCATGAAAGCGCTGCTGTATTGTATTGCATCAGATTGTATAGGTATACCTAATCAAATGGCCAGATAGGGTACTCCCTGAGTACCACTGCCACTCAAAAGACCAATAAATAAAAGCAAAATATTGGCAGCAGAAAACATTGCTGCGTGTGGAGGAGTAAACCTCTTTAAACCTGCATTACATGATATAAATGCTTTATTAGGCGAGGAAGTAAAAGGGCTCTGCTCCAGGTTTACAAAAGGCTTTCTGCTCACTTTGATGATGTTAACGTGTTGTTTCCTCAAAGCAATACACTGTATATATACACACTATCAAGAGCAGTTCAAACACACGCTCATTTACCTTTCAAATGTGGTAATCACACCTCACTACACACCGACTGAAACACATCCACACATTTATAAAATGACATTATAAGGTTTCCATTTTATGAAACAAATCTCAAAATTGCTATTGCCACTCTCGTCAGACTTTACATATTTAGCTTCCAGCTGTTTTCATCATATATTTCTCATACATTGTACTTAGTTTGTACTGTTAGTCCAACACTAAAACCGTTGGCTGCAACAAACTACAAACACTTCTTGCAGAAATGGAAAATATATTTGATTGTATTGTTGAAAGGTGTGTTGCTACTCTGCATGTGTGTGTTTCATCAGAAACTTCACTCTCATCACACTTTACGTATTTAGTTCAAAACACATTTAAACATGCATGTGTGTGTGGCCATGCTCTGAGTGTCAGCTGACCACTGCCAGCCTCTGGTCCTCCTCACGAAGCTCCTTCACCTGCAGCTACACAGCCCTGAGGAACATAGCTGATCCCTTCATGCACTCCACGTGAAGTGAGGACTCACTCTAGTGGCTTTTCTCTGACCTTTACCTGCTGATCATTATATCAAGTACATAAAGGCTCATGTCACAGGGATAAATCAGACATGCACTTTTCCATCTTCTTTAGTCAAGTGGATGTTGAATACAGTGGTGTAAAGTAGGTGCTAGAGACGGGAGCACGTTGATACGACCTTCCTCGCCGGAGATATGGCCGCATTTTACAATAAACTTCCGTTGGGTCGCTTAAAAACAAATATCGCAAATCGAATCGCAATATCTGTCAGAAAAATCGCAATTAGATTATTACCCCAAATCGTGCAGCCCTATATCCCACATTTGTAAAATGATCATTCTAATGGAAATGTTGGCTTTAGATTCCCACTCATATAAAAACAGAGTTTATGAAATGACACCTTCCCTCAATCACAAGTGATGTCACAGTAATATCTGCTCTTGTTGTTATGTGTGACTTTTAGATCTAACTACTAGAATGTATAGAAACTCTGTGAGGCTCATCTCTCTGTAGTTCTCTTTCTCCATGTAATCACCCCCCCCCCCCCTTATGCTCCTCTCCTTCTATCTCTCTCCTCACATCTTGCCCCCAGGCAGGTATTAATTGAAGGACCCTTGTTATAATAGGTTCTAATTGTTAATCACACAGCCTTGTTAGAGAGCAGTCTGATTGTAATTACAGATGCTCGTTAGCCGGGGTGCTGTCATTAATTAGGCATTGTGACCTTGGTAATTACTGCAGCCATATATGTGAGTGTTATTTTCTCGTGAAAGTGTTCCCATGGAAAACACCAAAGACGGCTTTTGGAAATAAAAATGTATTATTTGTTCTTTTGTTTATTTGATTTGGACAACAGTGGGGTGATTCCACAAGCAGTGTTATCAGAGTGTGTTGTGTTGGATATGGTGCAAGCTATCATGCTAACACTAATCTGAACAATTCCAGACCTTTTTTTATTATTAACCTTGTAGCTTTAATTTTCACAATAATTAATTGTGGATAAATGATTGATTATACATGAAGGTGGTTGTGCTTGAGTTTAGAGATTTAGAATGAAAAAGAAAAGCGTGTCACAGGCTAATTAATCCAATAAATGAGCTATGTCCACCGACTGCAGGAAACCTGTTTGAGAGCAAAACCAAACACTGGTGCTAGTACTGTGCAATATATCAGTGTTATATTGAAGTGATTCTAGATAGATTTATACAGAAGAGGATTGTTTTACCAAAATATAAAAAAAAATGTTTGAGTCTGACTTTAATCTCAGAATTCTAAGGAAAAAATCACAACTCTGAAAATAAAGTTAGAGTTCTGAGAAGAAAGTCAGATAACTTTTGGTAAAAACATATTTGATATACTCCATAAAGCCCAGGCCTAAATGCTGCTCGCTGGTTAGGGTCTGCGAAATCTGGCCTTCTGTACACCCTAACAGTTCTTTTGTTTAAGCCAGACCAAACTTTTAAAAGTCGAGTTTTCACCTTGAAGACATGTTGGAGGTGTTATAGCATGCATAGCATACTCCTAATGTGTCTTTTACTGTGTGTACCATTCCTCTCTGCAACTGATGTGTACAGATCCAAAGTTTAAATATGAAGCAGCGACAGCAGTGAACACGGCTCTGAGAGCTGGACGTGATCTTCAGACACTAAAATATTGCTGATATGTGAAATTACAAACAGGAAACTGCTGAACAGAGCTCCAGCTCACACATGAGACACATTAACAGCTAGAAACTCTCAGTTACTGTTGATCTGGGAACAGATTCTGTAAAAACAAGGCCCACCATTTGGTTTTGGTTTTTCGTAGCTCCGGTCACGCTGTGTTGGCAGGACTCACTTGTATCTGGCTTTCAGACAGATACATAAATCAAGTTACTTTTTTAAATGCCATTATCCTCCCAGACACATAATAGCCATGCGTACAGTATGCACTTGACAGAAGTGCTGTTTTGAGGAATAAGTGCTTATGACTCACACAGTGCTGGAAAATGTGAATGCAGTCTAGAGGTGCGACCTTATCGCACTTGTAAATTAGGCAGTAATGAAAATGTAGGCAGGTACCTGGGACTAATGCTGGGGATCAGTGTGTGGCCATTGTGTACGACACATTACTTCCTGTGTGTGTAAACAGAGCCAATGTCCCCACTAATGTACCACAACTAATTTATCTCTCTGTCTTTCTTCTCTCGCCCTCTAGACACTTCCTCTTTAAGACTGGTACAGGCACCACCCCCCTCTTCTCCACGGCAACTCCTGGCTACACTATGGCAACAGGCTCAGTGTACTCCCCCCCCACCAGGCCGTTGCCGAGGAACACCCTGTCCCGCTCTGCCTTCAAGTTCAAGAAATCGTCCAAGTACTGCTCATGGAGGTGAGCTGGAATCAGCAGGAAGTTCATTTATGTGTTCTCAGTCAAATCTACAAACGACATGGGGTGGTCTTTGAGACTAGTTTCTCTGTTTGAAATCAAACACACAAGACGGGCTAATTCATCATTAGATGGAGGAGTGGACAGTGGAAGTGGTGCTGGCCTTACTTCAGAGAAAATGGGCCTACATTAGGCTTTCTAGGCTGGGACACAAACCCTTCTTCCAAACAGGAAACAGAGGTGAAAGGAATTTCTAGCAGATTTAACAACAGTTTTGACTCCTTTACATTTATTTTACAGCTTTATTTTGCAGATTCATGTTATAGGGTTAGACAAACAAAATAATTCAACTAATAAATGAAGGCATATTATTTTAGGTTAAGCTACCCAGCTGTATATAAAGAAATTAAATAAACCCCACCTGTATCAGATGCAGCATTAAACTGAATGCATCAATAACTATAATACAATCATTTCATATTAAGGATTCTGAAATAAGCCATACTATGCAATGGGTACTTTCACTTTTGGTACTTTAAGCAGTGTTTGGATGCTAATATGTTGGTACTTTTTGCACTTTTATTGCCATTACGTGGGTAATGAAACGGTTTCTCTGCAATTGACCCATCCTAGTGTTTAGGGGCAGTGGGCTGCCATTATGAACAGCGCCCGGGGAGCAGTGTAGGGAACGGTGCCTTGCTCAGGGACACCTCGGTAGCACATGGTCTTGCCGGGACTTGAACTGGTGACCTTCCAGTTGCCAAGCCAAGTCCCTATGGACTTCGCCACCACCGCCCTAACTTTACTAAAGTAAATGATCTCACCACTAGATGTACAGGTTCCTGCAATGGGACGATGCTCCAGATTATTCTTGCATGTGAACGATTGAGAGTCTGGTATTACTGTCTCAACCCAACAAGATGAAGGCAGTGGTGGCACCGTTCCCTACACTGCTCCCCGGGCGCCGTACATAATGGCAGCCCACTGCTCCTAACACTAGGATGGGTCAAATGCAGAGAAACTGTTTTGTTACATAGTACCTGTACTACGTAATGACAATAAAAGTGCAACAAAAAAAAAGATAGATATTGGGCTAAGGCATTTTTGGTTTCCTAGGAATATTATTTATAAGCCACTATGGTGGATTTCTTACATTATGTAGAAGGAAAAAAAAAAATAATAATAAAAATACATTCAACAGCTAACTAAACAGAAGGCTCTCCTTTGGCTGTGTAGTTCACAAAACTGCTCCTTTACCAACCACACAGACATGTCATCCTCTGAAAGAGAGAAAAGACTCTTTGTAGAACTGTTTACAATCTGAATGAGTCTGTGAGCAGCTTGTCAGCAGAGAGGTCAGAGCTTCTAAACACCAGCATGCCTCTCTGTGAAGAACTCTTTCACAACTCTCCTTTCTGAGAGTCCCAGAGAGGAGTCCAGGTCAGAGCCTCTTCTGCTGAGTCCACACACACACACACACACACACACACACACACACACACACACACACACACACACACACACACACACACACACACACACACACACACACACACACACACACACACACACACACACACACACACACACACACTCATACACACACACACACACACAACACACACACACACACACACACACACACACATACACACACAGCTACAGTGATATCCCTGAATGTGAGATGGACGTTATCAATAAGCCAGACAAACATCATTCAGAAGGATATTTTCAACCAGCTTTATACATTATAAGTAGATGTATATGTTGTACTGCATAGATAATGGAATTGTGTATACACACACACTCTCATACATTCAGCATTTACATTTGCTCCTTTACAGATGACAGATGTGATGTGTCATTATTTCCAGTTCTTCCTGCCTTTGGCTCCCTTTAGCATAAAGCTGTTTTTTCTT